AGCATTTCTATTATTTTCATTGAAACGAGTTTAAAGTTATGTCAAAACCAATATGGCTTATCAAGATGATAGAAAATTTGAATTTTTAAACTATCAATGGGTGGAATTCACAATTAAGTTACATGCTATAATCACGTGAGTTTAGTGGAATGAATTCTGCTAAAGATAGAATGCACCCAATCTAAGTCAATTCCACTATTTTGCACAGTGCTGTCTCCCATTATGTGGCAACATTTAACTCTCCATTGTGCCCCCACGGGTTGTGCAGGCAGAAAAGGAGTAAAGTCAGCTGCAAGAGATTCCAGTTCAAAGAGGAAAAATAGAGCCATGCTTAGAAAGAGCAGTGAATAAATTGGAATAGCTTTATATTGTAATTTGGCTTTTTTAGATAACCATTCTTTGTAAAGTATTTAATATAAAATTATTAATAATTAGCTACAATTCTCTCTGAGGACAAACTAGGATGGAATTTACAGTAGACTGAGATATATATATATACACACACACACACACACACACACACAAAATATCTATTCAAACTTTAAGAGTCATAAGTTCTGCCAATGAGTATTTTGATATATATTGTTGAGAAACAATGCAGGACTATTTTTCACAGGAATTTTTTGGCAGAACCTCAACATGTGTGATATATCTGCAATGTGAAGAGAAAAATTCCATTCTTTAAGTAGAAATCGGACCAGAACTTGAAGACTTTTAATTCAGTCAGATTTTGCAAATGGTTGCCAAACTAAAGCCCTACAATCTTTAGGATATTGGGACCTAGATATCCCAAACATATTGCAGACCTCTCTTAAATAGGTGTAGAGTGGGGGTGGAGCAGAGGTTGAGCATCCCCGGCAACTTATAAAGACGGCACCTATGCAAAAAAGTGATGAATTTTTCATGGAATATTTTACAAAATACTTCCCCATTTTTGATCAGTTCAATTTAAATACTTCAATGAGAGTGGAGATCTTTTGAAAGTCTGTCCATTTCTGTAGGTATCTAAATGAAAAATGTGTGTTAAACTCTTTTAAAAATTTGGCTGTAGACCTTTCCATTGCTGGGAGGGTAATAGCTGAAATATAGAGGACAGTGGGGTACAACTGAAAGTAAAATCTATAATGCATACACAGGTTGAATTATGAGGTTGGCCTGAGGCCTAAAAGATGGACCTCCTTGGCCCTGTGATTCAGACTTCAGAAACAGAGAATCAAAGGAAGGCTAGAAATTATTTTGGAGGGTGAGGGAATGAAGAACTGTCCTGTTGGGGATGAAAGGGGAAGAGAACTTGCTAACTCTGTTGTAAGATGTAGAGGGGATATGGGCAGGGTTTCTTATCCAGTTCATCTGAAATTTAGATAAATTTGAAATTAATTATGAATGTTAAGATTAAGGGAAAGAGCATTGTCTAGTGGCTAGACCACAGGACGGGGAGTCAGAAGTTCCAGGTTTTATCTTCAGCTCTGCTACTGACTCAAAATCACTTGGTCTAAGTTTTTAAAAGTGGCCTCTACTTATGAATGCTTCACACTTTGGGCACCCACCTTGCGCCTCTTGGGTCCGGATTTTTAGAAAAGTTGAGCACCCACAACTGTGACTGAAATCAGTGGGAGCTGTAGGTGCTCAGTGCCTCTGAAAAGCAGGCCCTAGAGGGGTACCCAACCACTCAGACTTCAAAATTAAAGGTTATTTTTTAAAAACTTAGGCACTAACTTCTCAGAGACTCAGTTTCCCCATCTCTAAACCAGGACAATGATGCTATCTTAACCTCACAAAGATGTTGACAGGTTTAATTACTAAGGGCTAGATATTGGTACAGCTCCATTCATACTCCACATCTAGCTTCCTGTGAGCCCCAAGGAGAATAATTAGGGAGGAGGGGCATATTGGCTAACCAGAATCTAGTTTTCAATGTCTGTAAAGCTCAGCCTGGCTGGATCCAGGTGCGGGGTGACAGTTCTGGGTGGGGCAATCTGGATGCAGGTAGCTCGTGCGGGTGTCCAGATACGGGGGAGGGGGATCTGGATGTGCAAGGGCTCATTTGGGGGTTCTGGATGCAGGGACAATGGGACTCTGCAGGAGGATCCAGGTGAAGGTGATTGGGGCTCAGCAGGGGGGTCTAGGTGTGGGGGGATGGGGTTTGACAAGGGGTGTCTAGGTATGGGAGGCTCAGCTGGGGAGTTTGGATGCTGGTGGAGTGGGACTCAATGGAGTGGAGGTCTGGGTGCAGTTGATTGGGGCTCAGTGGGGTGAGGGTCAAAGAACAGAACGGCCATACTTGGTCAGACCAAAGGTCCATCTAGCCCAGTATACTGTCTTCCAACAGTGGCCAATGTAACGTGCCCCAGAGGGAATGAACAGAACAAGTAATCATCAACTGATCCATCTTCTGTTGCCCATTCCCAACTTCTGGCAAACAGAGGCTAGGAACACCATCTCTGTCCATCCTGGCTAATAGCCATTGATGGACCTATTCTCCATGAACTTACCTTGTTCTTGTTTTAACCCTGGTATAGTCTTCACAACATCCTCTGGCAAGAGGTTCCACAGGTTGACTGTGCATTGTGTGAAAAAAATACTTCCTTTTGTTTTAAAAGAAATTATAGGTATGATTTTCAAAGGTGCCAAAGGGAATGAGGTGCATAACTCCATTGGGATTTGGGCATTAACTCCCTTTGGCATTTTAAAAGCTGCATCCTATGTAAATTGCTTGAGGTTGGAGCATGTCTACAGCAGAACCAGAAGCAAAAAACCTCAGTTCTGACTCGCAGCACACATTCTAACTATAGGTCATGCTGTTTCAGTGCTAAGGGGCACGTGCTATTAGATAGGAGTCTTTCAGACATCACGTTAACACAAGTCAGCGTCTAGTTCTCCAGATAGAAATGAAAATCACCTATCATGTTTGAAGAACAGGGAATAATCCCAATGGTTTGGCCATTATGCCTCCTCATTAACAAAAATGTTTTAGTTTCCAAACATACAAACTACAGCCAGGCACACACTGGCTGCTATTTTTGCTTGGATTATCTATGCACATTACATGTAGACAACTTCAGTAACGCTCAAAGAAAGAGCAACACTAAATAAAAGCAAACTATTTCTCGCTAGTACGGTTTTGTAGACACCTGTCCCCAGACTCCTTCCTTGCAACATAATTGGTACTTCTCAAATGAGATACTGTATCCAGTACAACTGTTCATAAGCCCAATGCTGAGGTTTTCACCTATGAGGTCCCGGTATGGAGGACTCGTTGGGGTGGTCCAGGCATGGGGGAGAGGGGGGATTCAAGTGCGGAGGGCTCAGTGTGGGGTGGTTTGGGTGCAGGGGTGGAACTTTGCAGGGGGGAAAGGCTCGGTGGGATTAGGGTCTGGGTACAGAGGGAGGTGAAGCTCGGCCGGGGGGCTGTGTATGGGGGGATCCAGATACACAGAGGTCATGTGGATGAGGGAGCAGGAAGTGGGGAGGGGTGTAGAGCTTCCTGCAGCCAGGAGCCACCAGTGGGGGCATCCCCAGTCCCGGCCCCTGCCCCCACATTGATTTACCTCTCCACCGGCTGCTCCAGGCTCCTGAAATGACATGCCCGGGCTGCTGGAGAGGGGCATGTGATCACATGTTACAGCTTCCCCATAAGAAAGTCATTTTTCTGTAGAGATGCAAAGAAATCTGTAGGGCACACACAATGGCACAGAATTCCCCCAGAAGTAACAAGTACAGAGTATTATTGGTAATTAAGAGTCAAAAGAAGTATGTCCTCCAATCCCTGACTTTCCCATTGAACATTTTACTTTTCCTATTGGAGATTTTTATGTACAATGTTCTCCTCACTGTATATTTGATGTTAGACTAATTATTAAAATTATTTTTGAAACTCACTTTGCAGAACTATCAAGTTTGTGTTTAAGTTCCACGACAGATGTGCTTTTTGCTTTTCATTAATGTAAAGTGAGGACAATCTACCATGTGCTGCTACAGAGAGAAGAGATACATATTACATTTAAATTAAAAAAAAATCAGTGTGACTAGTGAACTCTGCTGTATAAAAGAAACCATAAAAGAAATATTTAAGGCAAACATTTTGCCTTGCTTTGTGTATAAACAAAGACTAATTGGTCCCATACTTGACTTTTTGTCTCCAATTATGCTGCAATATCATAAATGACACACTTGACTTTTAAGACAAGATGCTAAAAGTGGTCAGGAAAATATTCTTGAATCCAGAGAATCCAGAATGAGCTTGCTGATAATTAGATGCAGTTCTAATCTGTTTGTGCACTCTACTTAATTTTAGTTGCTGAAGAGAGCACACTTTATATCGCATATTCCACCTTTCCTATAGACTCTTTTTAGTTAATTTCAAAACTTGGCGCACACAGTTTCAAAAACCATGGATAAGAACTGTTGCTACCAATACAGCACTGAAACTGAGAAATAGCAAACGGGGAAAATAACAAAAATACTCCCTCATCATCTGATATCCTGAGAAAATAAAAAGATAGCAAATGCTACGCATGTAAAAATAAAGTGGCCTGATGAAACAACCTGGCTGGTTCTTCTCATGTAAGGCTAAAGGATTAGAACCTTGCGCATTATGCGTTTCAGCACAATTTCAATGGCAAAGACAATACCAAATGATTTGTACAAAATAATCTCAGTATAAGTCCCTTGTTTCAAATGTTCAGTACCCCGAGTATAAGAATGGTCCCATTTACACTCACAGTATGACCAAATTCAGTGGCACTATTCCATTGCCACGAAAAACCCTCGATCCCCATCTCTCCTCCAGCCCTACACAAACACACACAAGTATAACTCAGGTTTCAGTATGCATCCGAAGAAGTGGGCTGTAGTCCACGAAAGCTTATGCTCTAATAAATTTGTTAGTCTCTAAGGTGCCACAAGTACTCCTGTTCTTCTTTTTAAGTATAACTCAGTTGAAAAGTCTCACTGACAAATGATTATTTTAACAATGTTTTGATTTGTGTTCTGCTCTCCAGGTGATCCTGGCAGCTCTGCATACTGGACTACACTTCCTGCTTGGCAAACTGGACTCTGGCTCCCTGACCCCCTGCTTCCTAGCTCTATGGAACAGTGCAAGGAGCATGCACTGAAATCCAATTAACTCTCCTTCTGGGGAAACTGGAGAGTAGACTGCCATTGCAGGCAGCTCCCAACAGGGCAGGAAGACTGGAAACAAATCAGTGGATGTCTGACTGCATCAAAATGGGAAATTCTGCAACAGAAATGCTGAATTCTGTGGCATCTTCCAAAAGAGCCAGACTCTGGCCTCAAATGAGATTAATAAGGTATTTTACATGTCAGATCTGTTGTTTCAGACTCCCTTCTGACAGGCATCAGATAACCTTGAAAATGTGAACTGACTAATCTCCACAATCATAAAAGACTTAAATTTTTTTTTTTTTTACTTGAAAATTGAGAATTTGGAGTATAACTGCTGCAATGAGTCAATTCACAGAATACATAACATTTGTAAGGTCTCAATCCTGAGTGGCAGCTAAATTCTCCCTTTGGCCTTTTGCTTTTCTGTGCCAATCCAGTCCCTGGTGCCAGATAGAGCATCTTAACTTATGCCAGCTGTCATTGGCTTCAAGGGGACTTATGGCTGCTGAGGACCACAGAATGCAGGAATGCTTCAATTACACTCCCTATGCCTGCTGAAGAGAAGGGAGGTGACTTAGAAGAGATATTCTGTGGGGCAGACAAACAGCTTTAAGGGTAGGGTGACCAGATGTCCCGATTTTATGGGGACAGTCCCGATATTTGGGGCTTTTTCTTACATAGACTCCTATTACCCCCCACCCCCATCCCGATTTTTCACACTTGCTGTCTGGTCACCCTATTTAAGGGAACCAAGAGTTGCCCTAACCCACAAGAGGATTTGTCCTAAAGTCTCCCTTATATAAAACGTTCACACTGTAACCTCAGCATTTCTTTGTCTCTGAAGAATAGCCTGAAATAGTGTACACATTTGTTTGTTATCCTAAAAAAGATGGCCTTAACTCTGATTTCACTTGAAGTGGTATAAATGAGGAGCAACTCCACTGAAATCAGTGGGGTAGTACAAGTATAAAAGCAGCATAAATGAGACCCCTTCTCCTTGAAGCTAGCCTTGGTTCTTTATACCAAACATTTTTTTCCCCGCAAAGGTTTAACACTGAGGAGTTTGTATCACCTGCCCACCACAGAGCAAAAAATAAAGCATACCAAAATGTATCAGAAGTGTTTCAAAGGGCTGCATCACATAGCACACTGAGGGAAGTACCAGGTCTCTTTCACAGAACCACATATTCAAATGAGATAATCTAAAGTGGCTTTAACAGTGAGTCTTTGAAAGGAGACATTCTGCTGGAATGAGATGCTTTTTTTCCTGAGTGCTTCCCCTTCCCCCATCCTGATTCCCACCCCTACTCTCCCTGTCATTGCTAACTGGTGCCGGTTAAAACTGGCTAGTTCCAGCCCTAACAGCATCTTCTCTCTCAGAGCTTTTGTTCCCAGTTAGAGCACAGCACCACTTCTGCTTCCAGGCAGCTCATGTAATTAACCTACAAATTGCCAGATATTGCAGGATATCATTTAATAATATGACAGTGACCCAAAGCTAAACAATAGCATCTTTTTAATGCAAATACTTCAAACTGTTTTATTTTAGTTGCAGCACTAGTTATTTATACATTCTCTTGGCATTAGATGTGAAGTAGCTTTAACCCCATGGCCACTTGTATTTAATATAGTATAACTTGCATTTATTATTGCTAATTATGTGAGCTACTGAATCTGCCTTGTAAGAAAAACAAAGCTAATTTCTAATAGCAAAAGGATGCATACCAGTAATTTTAGGTGTCTTCGGTTTTATTAGATTAAATTAGAAATGTGACTGGAAACATTTCAGATCCATTTTAAAGTATATCTCATGGAGATTATGGTTAGAGGGGGAATGATTTCCAAACTGATTAAAGATGGATTTTTTTAGAATGATATGAAACATTTGGAATCTGAAGTATGCCTTTTATTGTATCTTGTAGCACAATATAAAACAAGCTAATTCTATGAAATTGCTGTATTCTTTGAAAAAAAATGCATTATGATGTTGTTTAATTATTATACTCGGGTTAATACACTGGCCTTTATCATGCTGCCCACTGCCTAACTAACTAACTGATTGATAGAAGGCAAGTTACAACATCAGATAACATATTGCAACTTTGCTAGATGTTTAATGTATAATATATTGCAATGAAGAATCTTGACAAAAACCAACAAGGATACAGTGTTCAAACTCAGAGTGAGACAGATAAAATGTCTGCTGTAGTAGATTTTTTTTCTGGAATTGTTTAAAGCACTGAATATGATTGTGTCACTCCAGGTACAGACAAGAGACCACTTCTCTGTAGATAGGACCAGCCTCAAAGAGCCAGGCACAGATCGAAGTTTTTTTTAAAGAGAGCTATTTGTGGGCTGATGGATGCTTAGCTCTGTTTACATTCCTTCCCTGAGGTGATTGCAGCTCCTCTGCAGTCCTGCTACTCTGCAATACTGGGAGCTGTTTACATTTGACAGGCCTTAAAATGAGTATTTGTTGTGGATCTGTGGTAATTTTGCAAGGGGGGGGGGGAGTAAAGACACACACACACACACAAAACCCCACCAGGAATGTGGAGAATCAGCTCTGGTAAACATGCCCTTTCATCGAAATGCAAGGAAAATAGGCCAAAGAGAACAATATCATGTACCTGTGTAACTAGTAAACACCCATATACTTACTTTGATATAGCTAAAACTATTAAACACTGTATCAACTTTCAAGAAACAGATAAAGGTACTTTTTCCTGTATCTCCCTTTCTTCAGTTTTCTAGAATAGGATATTATCCTCCTTATCTTTTATTGCACAAGTCAGAAACAAAGAATGCTCCCTTTTAACAGACACTTTTGCAATCATCCTCCTTTTAAAGATTGTTCAGTATTTAACTCCAACATTATTTCATAAATTTGCTGTTATATGAACATGAAATGTTTTTGCTGCGAGCTAAGCACTCCAATCTCATCTAATTCTCCCTACTCTCAACCATACTAATTACAGCAAATAAAAAACATATGGTACAGTAATGAACACAATTAACTTTAAAAGTGCTGAAAGTAGCATCCATACATAGATATGTCTGATAAATGAGGAGTCTTGCACCCCACGTCCTGTATTGTTTCATTTATTAATTTATTTTAAACATGGACCCATGCTCATATATTGAACAAAGCTGTTTGGGGCAGAGACCATCTTTTTGTTCTGTATTTGTACAGTGCCTGGCACAATGGGATCCTGGTCCTTGACTCCGACTTCTAAATGCCATGGTAATACAAATAATAAAAAATAATATTGTATCTTTGAATTAGTTTAGGAGGTCTCACTGCTGAATTGCTCTACCTCAGTTGGTTTCCAAGGCCTGGTGCAGAGGGTGAGATCATGCAAGCTTTGGCTCCTTCATTTTCTCTGTGCTTCACCCAACCGCTGGGATAGGGGAACAGGCATTGTACATGGGGCTCCCCTGAACCTTGGCAATCCCCAGCTGTCATAATGACCCTTTCAGACTGTTCGCAGAATTTAGAACATCTTTTTAAATATGAATTTACAGAGTTTTTTAAAAATTGGTTGGACATAAAATAACCTGAGAATACAGAATGATAGAGTCAGAGAGAAGTGTTACTATCCTGTGCTATACACTCACACTAGCTGCATAGGCCCAGGTCCTTAGTTGTAGTTATATTTGTGCCACACTGATTCTGGGCTAGCTGTGGGTCGAGCAGAAAATCTGGGCCTATTCAGTATCTTTTCTTCCCTTGCATAAATTTCCCTGATTTCTGTGCAGTATAACTGAAAAGAAATCAGTGGAGCTTCTCGGGGTGTAAGGCAGGGCAAACTTTGACCCCAATCTTCATAGTTTAAATCAGATATTTTCTTTAACACATACACAGTAGTAGAGTTTCCATATATACACACCTTCAAATGATCATTCATTTCATCTGTTCCTCATTACAGACCCAAATTTACCTATTACACAAACTTTATTTTATTTTACTATTTCATGCTAAGTTTCTTATGTAACAAATGCAAATTCATAATTCTGAGGTTATAGAAATTGGAATTTATGCTAAAGAAATTAATTTAACATTATGAGCTACTTTATATGTTTCTTTACAAACAGCCTAACCCTTTTTTACTTAATACGTTGTGTTTTTTTCCTATTTGTAGTACATTTATAGGTATTAATGTCACTGTCAGGTACAATATGTTCATTCAGAAATTTGGTAAAAAGTTTTTCATTTCATTCCTTTAGTTCACCTTAGAGAATAATCCAGTAGAATAGCTGCAAAAACATATGAATGAATGAGCAGACTACTTCAAACATTTCTCAGCATACAGATCAGAAGAATGTGTAAGAGTGCCTCTCAGTGGGCAGACAGGTTCAGTGTGAAAGTGAAAGTGTTATCTAATTAAGAGATTGTGAAAGTGGAAACTGTGGAAATCCCCTCTATCTTTATGTGTTATGGTTTTGTCACTGAATAAATAAAATTATCTCAGAGTAATTCCCAAGAAGACTTTTCCAAGAAATGTAGCAATTCACATAATTTAATATACTGTAGACAATAATGTGGTACCACCAAAATCCCCACACTGAATAGATCAGGGATTCTTTTGGATAGGGTAGGGGAATCTGTGCATCTGTGTGTAAGCAGCATATTAAAAATATCCTATTCTTCTTTTCAAAACAGCACAGTCAGCAAATGTTACAGCTTTTGCAGCTATTGTCATCCACATATTTTTCAGAACTGGTGCTGTTCATGTCTTGGCAAAGTTTTTAGATACATAGTTTTACCAGGTATGTCAGGTCAATCTCTACTTAATTAAAGCCATATGCAAGTAGTGCTATTCTGCCCAAAGTTCTGCTCTAAAGCTCTTTGCAATTTACCTCAAAATCTCAACATTTGCTTTGACCCCAAAATAGCAAATAAATTAAAAAGTAAAGTCAGCATTTAAACAAAGAGCATGCAGGCCAGTCAATCACTCTTGTAATATAATAATGATATTGGGCTGTGACTGGATGAGGAATCAGCACCACAGTGCAAGGAGGAGGGAATTATTGCAATATTCCTGCAATAAGCAGTCACCTGACTGGCAACCTTAATACATTTTTGTTTGGGGCAAGTTGATCAAAATGAACCCTTGCAAGGATGACCACTGCTTTTCAATGCAGTGGTTCTCAACATTTCCAGACTACTGTACCCCTTTCAGGAATCTGATTTATCTTGCATACTCCCAAGTTCCACCTCACTTAAAATCTACCTGCTTACAAAATCAGACATAAAAATACAAAAGGGTCACAGCACACTATTGCTGAAAAAAAATTGCTTGCTTTCTCATTTTACCATATAATTATAAATCAATTGGAATATAAATATTATACTTACATTTCAGAGAACAGGATATAGACCAGTATTAAGAAGTCATTATCTGTATGTTCTGTATTGTACTGTCCTCGCTAGTGCTTTTTATGTAACCTGTTGTAAAACTAGGCAAATATCTAGATGAGTTGATGTAGCCCCTGGAAGACCTCTGTGTACCTCCAGAGGTATGTGTACCCCTGGTTGAGAACCACTGATCTATAGCACCTATGTTCAGTGGTCTGATCAAAATAGTATATTTAAATTGAAATAAGTCCATACAAAACCCCTATGTTGGAGAAAACCTGAGCTCTTGGAAAGCTCAGGTCCAGATCCAAACTGAATGTGGCCATTTGATTTTAACTTCACATTTAAATAATATGGCAAAACTTTACATTATCACAAATACACCGATGATTAAAAACATGTTTGTTGGGGACCAGGACCAATCTTGCTTCCACTGAAGTCAATGGTAACAATGCCTTTTACTTCCACAGGAATGACAGGTCTATAAGTGAGGCTACGTTTTAGTCAAGGGTATTTTTAGTAAAAGTCATGGACAGGTCACAGGCAGTAAACAAAAATTCATGGCCCGGGACTTTTATTAAAAATACCATGAATAAAACTTGGGGGGTGCTGGAGGAGGGCGGCCTGGCTACTTGGGGGGGGGGGGAAGAAAGAGGGAGCAGGCAGCAGCCCATGGCCCAGGAGCTGTATCAGGCTCCCTACCTGGCTCCATGCCTCCCCCTCTCCCCCCAGCAGCAGCAGCGTCCTAGGTGCCTCCACCTGCAGGCACTGCCCCCACAGCTCCCATTGGCTGCGGTTCCCAGCCAATGGCAGCTGCAAAGCTATCACTGGATGGAGGCAGCGTGCAGAGCTGCCTGGACATGCCTCTGCCTAGCAGCTGAGTGAGGGGTATGTCGTCCCTTCCGGGGAGCCCCCCAGGTAAGCACTGCCCAGAGCCTGCCTCACCCCATCCCGTGCCTCACCCCCTTGTCCCCTCCCACACCCAAACTCTGCTGCGGGGGGCGGCACTGAGACTGGCCCAGCAGCGGCTGGTGCACCTGGCACAGAGGCTGCCTGAGCTGCCCCTGAGCCAGGCGCACCATCCACTGCAGAAATCATGGGGTCACGGAAAGTCATTGAATCCGTGACTTCTATGACAAACTCACAGCCTTATCTATAAGCAATGCTCATATTGGAGATAAAATTAATATAGATAAAATGGACCAAATCTGATGTTGAATGAATGTAATTGATGGGGAAATAATACCCAGTGAAGGGGCCGAATGGAGATGAGAAATCTTGAGTTTACTGTGAACTGAACACCCGAATGAAATATTATATTGGTTAGTATTATTTACAAGTATGTATATTTTTAAAACTGCAGGTAACAAAGATAAGGTCATGTTTTTGTTTTTTAAAGTTAAGCAGAAAGACTGAGAAGACATAAAACATGCAGGTAGGTTCATGAAAGAGGGAGTAAATAACTCCTTCTCCCCTATTATTCTTGAGGGGAAAAAATTAATTCCTGGCACTCTGGCTTAATAAGGGCCAAACAACTGTTCACTGTCATTGGAAGCACATCTTATTGTCTGACAGACCAGTACAGTTTAAATATGTATTTCCTATGGAAAACAATGGTGTAATGCAGTAAATCTGAGAGAAAATTACCATGAGCTTTCAGAGATGCTCAGCACCCATAGCTTCCACTGAATTAATACCAGGCCAATAATTTATTCATCCTCAGATATTAAGGGAATTGGACATGATAACTTGCAACAAATACATGAGGCTATACTGACATAGGTAAAAAGGTGATGCTTCTTCCTACAACCCCCAATTAAAGTGTACCTATACTGTACACTGCAGGTGTCTCCTAAAAAGCCAACAATTCCTTTCTTCCCAAAATGTAGACGTGTTATACATGTAAATTAAAACTTAATAAAAATAATTCTATTGCAACACTGTTAACCTATGTCTCTGTACCAGTACCATGCATTTACAGAGTTGCCAACCCTTACTATATCATGAGTCTTGTGACATTAAGTACTCTTTAAAAGCTTGACAGGATCACATGCAGCAGTCTTCCGAATGTCTGCCCTTATTCAAAATACCCACTATTTCCCATTGCCTTTAAGCATAACCTAGGCTGCCACCATCCTCCAAGGGCATTATTTACCATATGGGCCAGCTGGAGGCAGTGCAGCAACAGAATGTGGGGGGAGTGGAAGGGGTGCAGAGACAGTCAAGAGAATGTAGAGACGGGGCAGAAAGGGTTCAGGGGAGATCAGAGGAGGATGACAGAGAGGGAAGTTGATGGGGGGAATCAATGTATTATTCTGGGGGAGCCAAAATTTGGATATGTATGTACATGAGAGAGAGAGAGAGAGAGAGAGAGAGAACGAACTCATGAGTGGTAGCTTTCCAGAATGGCTGTTCCCCTCCATTCAACCACGGCTAATTTTGCAGGGAACAATCCCATCGTCCATGAAATCTAATTATTCTCATGAAAGCTAACTCTTCTGAGGTTCCCTTATGGCTAAAAGATGACCCTATAGAAACGGAAGGCATCTGTATCCCTTGCACAGAAGAGTTGCATACAGACTGTGATTTGGTAGCTTTGGGGAGCTTGGCATACAAGACATCTGACTGACTCAAACTATTTGAGAAGCCATTGTTGTACAACAAAACGTCTCTCCCTTTCTGCTGCAAGAGAAACAAAACAGGTTTCCATCTTTTCATTCTTCTGAATCCTCCTCCCTTTAGGAAAAGATCTGTCTTGATGGACCCTGATCACTGCCATTGAGTTGGATGTTTGAGGTTCAAGTCAGAGCGGAATTTGGCTCAATCTAATGTTCTCCATCCTTTTACCTTCCTTTTTTTTCCTGTCAGTCTTCTCTAATTTAAAGTTCATTCTCCTTTT